AGCGTTCTGTTATGTGACACGGACACGATCAAAAAGTCACGATGGCGGCGGGCGGAAAACAGGCGTTTATTCAGTATAGGGTAGCCTATTTAAAAGAAATAAACACTGTTAATCTTCGAGCCTTCTCAGTGGGTCTTCTGTTTTTCGGTTCACCTCATTGGTCGCGTTCCCCTTTTATTTCATTGGGTTATGCTATTCCTCTTCGGTCGCTGTCTTCCTGTCTCGCGCAATGATCACATCTTTCGTGCTTGGCATCTGATTGGCCGTATTTCTTTGGACCGCTCATATTTGGCTTTGCACTCTGAAACTTGCCGTTAATAGCGATTCTCGAGTTGCCAGTGCGCCCTCTATGTTCTATTGTCCAATCCGGTTTGTCGGTTTCTGGATACGTGTGCCACTCGTGATTCGCTGTCCAGCCATCGCTGTGTCTCCCGGTGGGTTCACGCGTTCTCTCGATCGAACTGATCTGCTGACTCCGGTAACCTGCGCTTAGGTGGTAAGGTCGAGCATACTGGACCGGTTTCCTAAACCCCGTTAAGTCTTCTGCCTGTGTGGCAACTCTGAGGCCAAGTGAAAGGTAGTGGTGATGTTGGTGCTACTTACGTTAGGCGCATTCGGTGGGTTTTGGAAGTACATGTGAGCAGTATATAAGATGAGGTATGTGCAACTGATAGTCAAATAGATACAGGGGTAGTTTCTACTTGTGATTGGTCTATAGGTGAAGCTGTCAATGTTTTGTATGGGTAGACAATACATCCTCCACTTTTTCTGTCGCAGCGATCTTTTCGGGATGGGTGGTAATTTGAAATAATCCGAGTAGAGTCAAGCGTATCTGAAGGACACCATGTTTCAGTGAGGAGGATCGTTTGTGGGTCATTGAACTGTGCAATGTATTCATAAAATGAAGTTTGTTGGTTATAGTTAAAATGTACTGTTTTGGGGAATTATCATTGTCTGTTGTGTGATCATTTGCATCTTTGGGTTCGCACATAATGCAAGTGGTAGCTAGGTGCGAGTATCGTGCGCCAGGGTTAGCTATTAGAACGTTTTTTTGATAAGGGCAGCATATTATGTGTGGATATCGGGACAGTTGTGGGCACGACGGCGCTAAAGGCATCAGGTTTAGACTGCCGTTGGTTTGGTAATGGACAAATTGGAGGAAGTGTGGAATAAACATGTCGAAATCCGCCGGAGATATGTGATATGAGGGTGGGTGCGAGTCCACTCCCGTCGCCGCTACAAAATGGTTGTTGGTGGAAGCCGTGTGAGATGTTGAAGGAACATGGAGAGGAGCAGGTGGTAACATAATCCCACTGGCTAATACCTTTGCATTATCTGTGCACTTCCAGTGATTGTTGTGGACTGTGGGGTGGTAAATAGGCATAGCCAAGAGACAGATTTTATTAGTCTTATTCAGAAAAAGATATTGTTTGCTCTGGTGGTTTTAGGAGGTTGGTCGGTAGGGAAGGTTTGGTACAACCAGGTATTTAGTATCCATACATTTTTAACAAACGAGTCCTCAGATTGGAGATGTCGTCCTTAGGCGACAGTAAAATATGAATTACATCAGGTTGTCTATCCTTGAACTTGTCTTGGTGGTTTGGACCGGATTGTGCCATATTCAAACAATTGACATTACTCCACTGTTCCAAACACTTAGACTTTCCTTTAATCCTTATGCATGAGGAGTTCAATTTAATGGGTGCCATTATCAGGAATAGGAGAACCCATTTAATCCGTTCGTTGTGTATATGATCTTCCAACGGAGCAAGTTTGGAGTTAGTTGGCAATGTTAAATCATCGAGGTCTAAATCAATGCATCTAGTATCCATCTTGGATGCACTCGTTTTTTTGACGTTTGGCTGAGATTTTTCGAAGAGGCTATCTACTTTTTCGGTGTTCTTGTCACGGTGCCAATTTCGGACCTTTGTAGCAGTGTCCTATCTGCTTTAATCAAAAAGCCATTAATTTGGGTGTACTGGGCTAAGATGGGTCCACAATAGAGGAATCGCTGCGCGAGTTCCTCGCTCCAAAATTTGAAAATGCTTGGACAACGATGTTTCGGTGTCTTCTTTTTTACACGTTGGCATGTACAGTCAACGTCAGACAAGTTACAAGATTTCAGTATCGTTAGTTTTGTTTGATCCAGACCTAACCTGTTCGGAACATTAAAAACAACTACATTTTTTGCCCTACATCTTCGTTCGTGCACTTCAGAGGCAACAGAGTCAATTAATCTCCTTGTTTTCCCCATTAGCACAGGATCAGTCTTCTCCAATGGGTTACTGATGTGATCAAGCGTACGCAGCTGATCTGTGAAGGGTTCAAAGAGTGCCCGCGTTTTTCTCATCTCATTAAGTTTTGATTCCAGTTCTGCAATGAGGTTATTGTTAGCAGAGGAACGGATTCGTCTTTCTCTTGAGGCCTCGCATTTTATTCGCTTTGCTGGTGGCGTGGAAAGTACCCTACAATTAGCTTGCCGAATATGGCGAGACTTCGGTGGGGCCATCGTTACCTAAGCTTGTCAGTGTTCAGACTCATATGCCGAGGTAAGATAATGTAATGAAAACCAATCTTGTGCGATTTCTCACAGTTGGAGTTTGATCGGTGGGTTAGATTCCACGGCTACGTTTGTCGGTACTAGCCACCATTTAATGACTGCGTCCAGACGTGCACCTGTGGTCAGGTCAAGATAATGAGTCTTGGAGTGGGGCAGTTGTCCACGAGCATACGCGTGTGTGTGTATTTTTGTCTGCCTACGTATACTATGGAAACCGCTGATTGAGTGGATCGACCAATTTATCGATTAGGACAGCTCACTTTCTGCCTCGCTCTGATTCGCTAATCTATGTCGCGCTTCCCCAGCCTATCCCGCTTCAACTTTCCATTTTATAATAGTAAACGGCTGATGAAATTTATCGAAAAGAGTGTTCTTCGCTACCTTGTGTTTTATGCGTCAATTACTGATAAACAGAGGAAGCGACAAACCACTTGGCGGGGTTGGATTGCCAACAGTAAACTGGTTACTACAATGTCTGATGTGGCAGCTAAACACGGCATTGGATGAGCACTTTTTTAGCGCAATCGTACAGCCTGGAAAACACTCGAGTGAGAGTAACATATCCAACGGGAAGCTGCAAGTGAAGAAGCTTCGTGCCTGAATTCCTATAACAAGTCTATCCAAATTGCCGAAAGTGAATATGATGTTGCTGCGTTAGGATTACTCTGAGCATTTTCTATTCACTGTGGGGAGCTGATAAAACCGAGCGGAATGAGTGCAGGTGCAATGATGTGCAGTAAGATAGTGATGGATTATCCGTAAAATAGTCACTTGCTGCGCTTTGCTCTGTTCCTACGTCATCCTGCGTCAAGGTCACTTGGATCTTATCCTAATTGTATGATTACGGTGTTGCTTTCTCTCATAACTCCACTCCACGACGTGTTGCGTCCCACGTTGGACGTACTCGCGAACGCCGCGGCTTTTTGAATTACAGTGCTGGATTCCACTTCTTCTTCGGGATTACTGTATTATATGTGATGGTTCTGTGTGAATTGGGCACCGGTATTTTTTAACTTTGTGCAAATTTCGTGGATGTTTGCTGGCTAATTTCGGAGTTTTCATTGATTGGCCCAACTGCTGTCCGTGTCCAACATCTTGGATTAGTTCGGCGGTAATCGACCATTATGACCACCACACCGGTAACCCGAAACGAAATTAAACTTGTGCTAAGGTAGTGAAAATAGGATTGGCTTCCACAAATCGTAAAGACCGGGATCACTCAAACTGCGTCAACATGTCTAGAACCGACAAAAAGAAATACAGTACGC